CACTCTCCAGCAAGGTCCTTCCCTGCCCAAGGCGGCCAAGCGCACCCGGGGGCCTTTCCTCTCCAGCCGAGAAGGACGCATCGCCCTCGCTTCCCCATGGGAACGCTAAGCCTGGGAGTCCTCGTGGGGCTCGGGGTGCTGCTCTGGATCTTCCCGGGGGTAGGAGCGGCCTTGCACCCCCAGGAAACGGTGCTCCTGAGATCCCTGGGCCTGAAAGCCAGGCCCAGCCCCAGATCGCCTGCTCCGGTGCCGCCCTGGCTTTGGAAGATGTTCCAGAAAAGAAGCGAGGCCCCCAAGGAGTCCCGGAACCCGTGTTGGGTGGAGGAATTTCAAGTCCCTGGAAACGTCATTCGGATATTCCCCGACCAAGGTAAGCTAAGGAGGAACCGGGATGGGAGAGGATTGTAAAACGTGAGAGCGCGCGTTAAACCCTCACTCGCAGCCGGGCCCTTTTACTCCAAGGAGGAGCGCAAGCGGCTGAAGCGTTCGGGAGAGAGCGCGCGCGCGCAAAATGCGCGTCGTTCCTAACCCGGAACGTGTGAATCTGTTTCTTGATCTCCTTGAACCCCGAATCCGTGGGCGGATCACCCAGAAACCGGACCCAGGGTAACCCTGAGTATGAGTCCTGCGTCTTTGCAACAGCTTGGTCTTTCCTTTCTCAGGTTTTAGAAGGAGGCCAGTCCAGGCGCGTTTGCAAAAAAGATAGCTCCTTCTTTATTAAATTTACGTGACTCCCGCTTTTCTCTCTTATAACCCTTGAGTATGAGCCCTGCGACTTGCAACTGCTTGATCTTTCCTTTCTCAGGTTTTATTTTAGAGGGAGCCCAGGCGGCGTTTGGGGGAAAAAATCGCTCCTTATTTATTAAATTTACGTGCCTGCCCGTTCCCTCTTTTTGGACTCAGGATAGTTAGTTCCTACTTTTCTTTTACGAGGAATGCACATCGTTATCTCACCCTTTCAGCTACCCCCCCCCCCCCAAAAAAATAATTGCCTCGTGAAATCAATGTAAAGGGGAAATCCATGCCCAGCAAAATATTGACGGTCAGTTGCCCACATCTATGGCCATGGATATGCATGCCGGCTAATCCTTATTCCTCAGAAGTTGGGTTGGAGCAGTTATTTCCAATCAAGTATGCGGGTATGGAGAAAGGATGGGATTTGGGGAATGTGCGTACCTGATCGCAGCTTGTGTGTGGGAAGCTGAATGGAGCAGCCGTGGCCTTTAACAAAAAATGGGCGATTGTTTTAAAGAATAAAACACAGAGGAAAAAACAAGGCGTGGGTGGGAGGGAGAAGCGTACACAGGAAAACGCACATTGTTGGGCACGTGACAAAGCTATACCTTGTAATACAATTGGACGGCTAATATTTGAGCCGTTTTAGTTAACAAGGAGAAAATGGGAAGGGGGATGGAAAATTAAATTAATCCCCATTTCAAGAGTCTTCTAAATGAGGATTCCTACCAATGATATTTTTTTCAAAAATGTACAGAAAAATATTGCATACTTGGAAGATGCAATATTTCTATTCCAATGTTATCATTTTGAGATACCCGAGGGTAAAATGTCCCCACAGCCACCTCCCTGCGGTGCATCTTGCTCCCTTCCTTGCCATCTTTTTTTAAAAGTCAATTTTAACGTTAATATTCACAGTTTAAAATGTTTATTGTGTCTTTATTTGGTGGTAAGCCCCTAGTGTCACCTTTAGGCAAGATGGGCGGCATATAAATTTAATAAATATATAAATAAAAATGTAATGGAATAAAATCTATTTTTGAAGGGTAAAGTTGTAGCTTTAGAAAGTTCATTTCTCTTTGCTGCTAAGCACAGCTCCTGAAATCTGCATTAGGGCAATTAATTAATGGATTTTTAAAAAAAATGCTTTGCCAGTTTTTTTTTTAAGTTGGTATTTTTTTTTCAAGTTGGCTAGATTTCCTTTATTTTTTCCCCCCTTGCATCTGGCCAACTAGATTCAAAGCCGAAGCAAAGAAGGCGGTCTTATTGCCTCATTTAATTCCAGCATTCCAGCACATCCAACTTTTTTCCAAGGAAATTTCAAACCCATGGAGGCTTGCTTGGCTGAATGACCTTGGTGGCCATATAGATTATGTCATAACAGTGGAACTAGGACCAACTTGAGCTGTAACAAAAGTAAAATCAACATACGGGTAGTCCTTGACTTACAATGGCTCACTTAGTGGCCATTCAAAGTTACAATGGCAGTTTCTGACCTTCCTGTTGCCTTTTTGTCACCATTGTAGCTGCAAATGGTCGCTAATCCATCAAGTTACGTTGAGGCAAGGGTCTTCAAACTTGACAGCTTCAAGACTTGTGGACTTCAACTCCCAGAATTCCTGAGCTAACATGACGGGAGGAGGAATTCTGGGAGTTGAAGTCCACAACTCTTAAAGCTGTCAAGTTTGAAGACCCCTGCGCTTTTGAGGTAAGATGGGTGGCCTACAAATTTTATAAGTAAAATAAACGAGGCAGTCACTAAACAGGGATTATCTATGTTACAATGGATCTTTTCCTCCTTTTTCAGGAATGACCTTGCCTTTCTGTGATAGGCTGGGATAGAAGACTGATTAAAAATGTTAAGGCGCTGAAGCTAAATCATTTTTTTTTTTTTTTTAGTCCTAAATGTTTAGCGAGTGGCATTGTTCCCTTCTCCCCCAGATGCTTTCTGTCGAGGTTGCATTCTGATAGCCCTAAAGTGCTTTTGATTTCTACACCCATTCTAGGACACTTGATCCACCGAGAAGAACCCCAGAGTTGGATATGTCTACAGAAACGGCTATATTTTAATTTCTCTGCACTGGAGGAAGGAGAAGAGTTGACGCTGGCCCAGCTGGAGATTCAGTTCAGCCACAACCAATACCAGGGTTCCAGCTCAGTTCATCCCTTTCAGTTAAGCCTGTACCGGGCTCCCCAGGTGACCTTGCGTGGCATGTCCGCCCATACTTACAGCCGCCAACTCCTGGTGGAACAATCCTTCGCCCACCTGCACAAGTCCTTTGCCTTCAACCTGACCAAGGTGGCGAAGGAATGGCAGACTCCATCTAAGAATTTGGGCTTGTTTCTTGAAATTAGCCTCCCGGCGTCACATGAGAGCAGCTTATGTTCCAAGCTTGATTCCATGCTCAGCACCTCCCTGTTGGTGGTTTCCCTCACTCCTGGGCAGTGCAAAAGCCCCAGGAGAAGGCGTAGCGCTTACTACATGCCAGTCTCTGCCAGCAACATTTGCAAACCCCGCCGGTTGTACATCAGCTTCACCGAAGTCGGTTGGGAGAATTGGATCATTGCTCCACAGGGTTACCTGGCCAATTACTGCCTCGGCGAATGCCCTTTTCCCCTGACCGAAGAACTCAACAGTACCAACCATGCCATCTTGCAAACCATTGTGCATTCTCTCGACCCTGCCGGGACCCCTCAGCCTTGCTGCGTCCCCGTCCGCCTTTCACCAATCTCCGTTCTGTACTATGACAACAATGATAATGTTGTGTTGAGACATTATGAGGATATGGTGGTGGATGAATGTGGCTGTCGGTGAGATGATTCACCAGATTCTACTTGGCCGGTTGCTGTTTCATGTCTCTTTTCTGCTGTATCTTTAGTTGAGCCACCAGATGCCCAGTTATGGTCATCTAGTTCATGATCTGATGAGTGGCTAGAGGAGCTGCGTAGTTACGGGGTCTTCAAGTGAGACGCAAAATGCTTTTATCAAAATTTGCTGGAGTTTTGTACAATTTATGGGGAGGCTGTATCTTACACCACCATTTATCTGTTTTTAAATGTGAGCTAAGTAATTTGTTAATTATTTCTAGGACCAAAATCATCAGAATTGGTTTTTAAAAAGTAATATATTTTAAATTGCTGTACAATTGATTTTAAAATTCTTTTATCAATGATCTTGGTTATTAAATGAACAACTGACTGTGAAGCTTGTGTTATTGGTTCAGGATCATCCTTCAAACATAATTCCATCAAATTTGCATGCATGGGATTGCTTGATTTCTAAAATAAGACCAAACACTATGTTTATCAAAAAAGAACATGGGAAGAATCTGCTAGACCAGAGTCTTAATTTGTTTACAATATTCTGTGGTGCAGTCGTTGGAGTGGCCACTTCTGCTATCGGCTGCCTGCAATTTGAATCTCACCAGGCTCAAGGTTGACTCACCCTTCCATCCTTCTGAGGTTGGTCAAATGAGGACCCAGATCGTTGGGGGCGATATACTGACCGTAAAACCGTTTAGAGGGCTGTAAAAGCACTATAAAGTGGTATATAGTCTAAGTGCTATTGCTATTGGCCAACCAGTTGCTCTTGTGCAGTTGATAAGACAAAGATTTTTCGATGTGGGGCACATCCTTAGTATTTTATATTTGCAAATATATTACTTCTGCGAACAATGCTGATGCTGCCATCCAGGGCTTGTTCTGCATGCATTCTTTAAAGCTAGCAGCCACCATAATCTGATATGAAAATTCTGAAATATCAATGATAGGTGTGGAGTGCCACTTAGGAATGCAGAGATACATGTTTTTTTTTGGATTCCAAATCTTCACCTTTTACTAAATACATCTTGGAGACAGGACTGGATTTTAAAATTGCGATATGAGACATGGCATATGCTGTAGTTGTCCCTAGTTGACAAAAAAAAAAAAAAATCAGGTGTGGCCAATGACTCCAATAAAAAACAATTATTCCTGTATATACATTTGATGCAGATTAAAGAAGTGCAAGTTTCCAGTACAATACTGTATAAAAATATTTTATAAGAGAAATTTAGACATTTGCTCCCAAGCACTGGTTGCAGGAATATAGCATGCTCTTGTTAAATCTTTCTTAAGAGGGTAATCGGCAAAAGCCAATACAATTTTAAAAATATAAGATGAATGTGTGTGTGTGTAATATTGAACAGTTCTGACTGAAAGGCTCCTTGTAGGTTTGTTGCTATACATCTTAACAACTAAACATCAGAATTTTGAGTCCCAGGCACAGAATGCAAGCGTTTTTTATTAATTTGATGAGAAACAGATTTTAAAACAAACAGACAGAAAAAAAATAATCAGCACCGCGCTAGCACTGATGGGGTTTTGCAGTGAAACTCAGCGTTTTATAACCGCTACAAAAGTGGGAGGGGGGGGATCAACACGAAGAGGCAAGCATTGCTACCTAAGTGAAATGTGAGGAAGGAAAGGGAAGGAGGTTAGGAAGACAGTGGGAGGAAGAGGGAGCTACATTTACTTCTTAGTGGATTGAATTGCACAAAGAAGTTTAGCATTTAGTCCAGCTCAAAAATCTACAGCCACACAGCGAAGGGGATGGTAGAAGAAAAAAAAATTAACAAGCAGTTCTCCAACAATCGGAATAAAGATTCCACATTTCAGGCAGGAAGGTGGCCTGTCTCCCTTTCCCATACACATGGTAGAAGTCTAAACTCTGGAGATGTTTTCAATTCATTAAGAACAATCACAGATTTTCAATTCATGTGTCCCCTCTTCCAAAACCTGCAATATAAAGCAAGGCCCAGTAATGCTAAAACGGGCAACAGAAGCCAGACAGGCTTTCTTGTGAAGGGGTTTGTGGGTTTTTTTGTGTTTTTTTTTTTGGGAAGGGCAGGGCAGTAGGGCAAAAGTGGGAATGAACATTACTAATGTCCAAGTTTTTTTTTTTTTAAAGTAGGAGGTTCTAAAGTTCATTCATGTAAAGCTAGGGGGGAATTCCTCAACATATACAAAAAGTTAAAATGGACGTTTAAAGCCCTTTGATTGGAAAAGAAAGCTAAATTATTTTTTTAAAAAATAGCACAACTGGGCAGTTGGTCAAAATGTCTCGGATAAAGGAACTCCACCTTTGGTGGTAAGAAAAATCAAACTAATCATAGGCTAACAGGCCAGCGTTCTCAATATTTTTAATGCAGGTATGCATGCTTTCTGCTGTGAGCCAAGGTGACTTTTTCTTGGGTTTTTCTTTCTTTCTTTCTTTCATAAATTGTCCTTTTCCAGTTGGGATTTGAAAGGATAAATCAAAGGAGCTTGACTGAGGGCCGTGCACCTTCACATGGTCTCCAGCTTTGTTGAAACTTCTGATGCTCATTCCACAGCTGAACGTCAAGAAAAAAAAGGACCCTCCGTGCCAAAGATAAGATTTTTGCCCCAGAATGGCCACCCCTTAAAATATCTACCTGCTCTTCCTCCCCAGACAAACTATCTCAATGTATCATCAGAGAAGCTTTACTTCAAAACCAATATAATCCCCTGTTTCCACTAGTTTTCCCAATGTCGGCAGCAACTAATAAAAAAGCAGGTCAGTCCCAGCAGCGTTCTTCTTTCTCAGGGGCCAAAAAGGGCACAAGATACTCCCTCTCCCTTTTGTAAAGCAGATACCTTAAACCAACAGCCCAGAGAAGAGCCCAGGCAGGAACCAAATTAAAACTGACAACACCGTTTCTGATTTCTCCACTGCACTGGCAGGAGGCAATCGGCTTCCTTGAAAGATGCGCCTCTCCCCCAAGAAGAAGAGTTTGATTGACTGAAATCACACAGAAGAGATTGGTTAAACGTACAGTTATAGATATATATATATATGTATGTATCTTTTATGGTTGGTTTTTCTTTTCTTAAGCATCTCAAAACAAGGATTTTCCTTCCAGGTCCACTACTAAATTTCAGAGACAAACTTCTAAAAAAATATCCAGTGCTTCTTTGAAAGAATTCCTTTTTTTAAAATAAAACAAAGAACCACCCCATCTTGCCATTCGGACTGTGGGTGAAGCCGCACGAGGCTCAAAGCCAGATCTTGGACAGCAAAACCCACACATCTCAGAGTCGAGTACCAGTCACAGCTGGCTTCCCCACAAGCTTCCGGACGTTTTCTCTTGGATGGTGTGCTTGTTCCTAAAAAGTCCAACAAGGTCTTCCTTCCTCCCTTCCTTCCTTCTTTCCTTCTCTTGAAAACAAAAAAAAAAAAAATGGAGAGATTGGTACATGAACAACTCTGAGATGGGTGTTTTCCTCTCCCCACCTGTTCTAACTGTGAAACTCTGCTTGCAATATGAACGGAATGAAATGATTCTTCTAAGACCCTTCCTCTCTTTCTCAGTGGGTGTGTTGGTGGCAGGGGAGGGAACAGGGAACTTCGCTGACCACTCAGTTCTTCCAGGGCGAGTTAGTTCTCCCTCCCAGTGAGGTGCCAGTTGGTCCTCCGGTGCTTCTCTTCCCATCTCCGGTCAGTCTCCTTGCCTCAGTGAGCTAGCAGTGGGCTCTCTTCTTTCTCTTTCGCTCTCTCGCTCTTCTTTCTCCTCTCCGTTGGTTTCTCTCTCTTTATCCCTCTCTCTCCTGTTGCTCTCACAGAGTCGCTTCAGTTTTAGCAGTGGAAAACAGGTATCCATTTTATTTTATTTTTATTACCCTGAATAAATTGCTGTTGAACTAAGCTCCACATAAGCTTAGCTCTTCTCCTTCAACCTAAAGAAAAGAGAAGAATGTCATTAACATCACAAGGTCTGGATTAAATTTCTGAAAACTTTCCTCATCAAAAATAGTTCAATGAATGGGCCTAGCCAATCCATAACAATGTATTATCACTGCCATAACACTGCCCAGAGCCATAAGGGGCTGGGACAGCCTATAAATGTTATAAATGAAGGAGTAAAACTACCGTTAAATCTTTAAGAAGACAATGCCACCACTTCCAAAGTAGCACTTTCTCATATCCATAGTACTCAGATTTTCTTCAAGAGACCCAAATACGCCCAGAAGTGAATCATAAACTATGCTGTTAGTAGGATGTTTCTTTGTTTGCAAGGTTGGGAAGAAATGGACACTTTACTTAACAGAAAAACAAACAAACCCAAAATCACAGAAACAATTGATATGTGGGTCTTGCTTATACTTGAACTCAATATGGAGAAACAAACTGCCCCTCTCCCTGACAATTCCCTTCAGGTAGCCTGATCAATAGCCATTCGTAATTGCCCATCTATTAAGGTTTTCAATGTTTCAAAGATGGTCTATTTATTGATTTATGTCAATTTATAAGCTCTCCAACTCCAATGGAATATATGTTGTGGTAGGAAGTTTCACCACCAAATGATGCCTCGTATGAAACGCTTCATTTGATTAGACATAAATTTACCCATTCAATTTCACAGGGGGTTCCCAAATGGAGGCTTAGGAAACAGAGAAAGACATTTTGTTTTGTTTTTTTCACATCTCAAAATTATTACAAAAGCAAGATGTGTTTTTCTCAGCAGAACCTAATCTCGAGGTTGCATTCCATCTGAAGAAAAAAAAGGGAAGTGTAATTTTATGTGATTTTGGGACTTTTTCCTGAGTTGGGGACGAAAACTCAAAGCAAATTGGAAACTAATCAAGGAGAGAACCAGCCTAGAACTAAGGATAAATTTCCTGACAGTTTGAACAATTACGTGTGGGTCCTCTATCACAGGAGATTTTTAAGCACTTGGACAACCATTTGTCTGAAATGGTCTAGGCTAGGGATTTCTGCCTGAACATGGGGGGTTGGATTAGAAGACCTCCAAGGTCCCTTCCACCTCTGTTATTCTCTTATAGCCCTCAGCCTCTTTTTGTCTTCTCTAGTTGAATATTATTAGCACATTCATAGCTACAAATTAAGTTAGCAATCTTAAATAAGAAGCAAAACAATCCAAGAACACCAATTTGAAGACTCCTCCCACGTAAGGGAGGCTTGGCTTTTCAGAGCAGCTGAGAAGGCAAGAGATACTGATGAGAGACCATCAAGCTCCTTTTTACCCCTTAAACCACCTTACACTCTAATACTGTGACAGCCCCGTCACTCCATGTTGATATGCGCGTTCCCCCTGGTAAGTTGAATCCTGCGACAGGGCCACGTCAATCTGAGATTTAAACTCATCACCAAGGTAACTATCCTGAAAACAAAAATAAATAAATAAATAAAAACCAAAATTTAAAATGAGCTTTTTTTCATCCAGAAAGATCTACTGAGCCATGAGGTGAGAGATACTGATAAAATTAAGACATATTCAGTTTTCTTTTCCCAAGTCTGGTGCAAGCAACTGTTTTACAGAAACAATGAGGAAACAAGCAACTCAGAAGAGTAGCAGAACAATTCAAGATTAAAACTGTTGATAGATGATTCAAAACTGTTAGCAGATAACTGGAATGATATTTCATATTTCAGGCACCATCACAATGGCTTAGCCCACTTGTGCAGGATAGTAAGTAAATTTCTCAAATGAAAGACTGATCAGAGGAGGTTCTTAAACATGAGACACAAGACAATTTGAGGCAGTCTTCCCAATCCTGTACTCCAGTGATCCCCAACCTTTTTGACGCCGCGGCCCGGTACCGGCATCAGCTGGGCGCCGCCATCTTTTTTTGATGAAAACGTGCTTCCGGTGAGCTTTCTACCCGGAAAAGCTCACCGGAAGCACTTTTTCATGAAAAAAAGATGGCGGCGCCCAGCAAGCCAGCGGCCCGGTAGGAGTTGTTCCGGTGGTTGGGGACCCCTGCTGTACTCTTCAGATGTCAGGCTACAAATAGCATTAATGGGGTAAACAGTCTTAACACATCTTGCATACAACGGGTAGCAAAAGATGTTTGGCCTTTAGAGGAAACCTCTCTTGGATCTTAAACCAAAAAGATTGGGCCACCACTTAATGTCTCTGTAGAACTTACTCCGAATCACTTCCCCAAGCAGCAACTGAGAAGCAAATGTTGTTACCTGTGACAATTCTGGCTGGGAGAGGCCAGGCTGGCTCATCTGTGAGGGTTGGCTCATGGAGATGTAACCCTGAGTCAAGGGGCCCTGAGAGAAAGGCTGGGAGACCACGTCTTGGCTGGCCTGGCTGTTGGGGAGGTTCGACTGGCTGGCTCCTGGAATCCCAAAACGATTCTTCTGTCGCCCACCACGCCCCGTTTTGCCTTTCAGGTTTCCACGTCCTGCAAGGGCAACCAAAATCTCAATACGGGTAGTCCTCGATTTACTATCACAGTTGAGCCCAACATTTCTGCTGCTAAGTGAGATATTTGCTAAGTGAGTTTTGCCCCATTTTGCGACCTTTCTTGCCATAGATGTTAAGTGAATCACGACAGTTGATAAGTTAGTGACATGGTTGTTCAGTGAATCTGCCTTCCCCTTTGACTTTGCTGGTTAGGTGGTTTGCAAAAAGTTGAATCCCATGACCCCCCCGGGACACTGCAACCGTCACAAATGTGAGTCAGTTGCCAAGCGCCTGAATTTTGATCAGGCAACCATGGGGATGCTGCAGTGGTCATTCGTGTGAAAAACAATCATAAGCCACTTTTTTCACTACCGTTGTAACTTCAAATGGTCACTAAACAAAGTGTCGTAAGTCAAGGACTATCTGTACACAAAAAGACAAAACTTTTCTTTGGCAAGACTGGACATCCAAATAGGTAGGTAGTATCTGAGATAGATCACGTTCTATGTGCATGAAATTATTAAACATAATCTGAAGGAAATCTTAATCATGCTACAACAGACCTGGGCACATCTGGCCCTTTGACTGTCCCTGTCCATCCCGCATGGGTTGCTTTTATTTTGAAGGCAACTATTTTTTTAAAAAATTTACACATGTGCGTGTGTGCATGCCCATTGGCTCAGCCCTCTGCAACAGTCCCAGTGTGGGAAAATTAATTGCCCTCCCTGTGCTAGAAATGCCCAACTAAAGATCTATCTTTCCAGCTGAAGAGTTATATACAAAGTGTCAGCCTTCAAGATCTTTCCTACTGCTTTGCATCTTTTGGCTGCCATAAGTAACGGTGGGAGGGGTAATGTCTGGGAAGAGAGCTGGAGGTGTTACATTCTTGTCCTGTATAAATGAGGAGGGGGGGGGAATATAAATTCCTGCTCTTAAGTTTCTATTCCTTGCTTAGCCTTCTTTTCTCTGCGCAACTGCAAATCTTTATCAAAATATGTCAAGGTCAACGGACAGAGGCCTCATCACCACCTGAAGATGCCCACATGACCATATCCAGAACTTTTGATTGGAACAATCTTTTGAATTTTGGGGGGTGGGAACAATTCCATCCCTTTGTATATGTGATCTGCGTGCCTAATTTCTTAGATTCAGAATTTTACCTGAAGCTACCACTTCAAATTTCAGTAAAAGATTTATTTCCTCTAATTTATGGAGTCTAAGTATTTCTTTCTTGGATTTTGAATGGAGCACAGACTGACACAAAGCTCTTAAGCAGAATATGTTGCTGAATGTTAACTTCCCTCCCACACACAGGAGGAGTTGCTTTCCGGTTCTGAAGTAAGCAAGATCAGAACACGTCAGATGCACAGAAATTTAAGAGCCGGCTTAAACAAGGGCTGGCTGATTTGAGCATGATGCAATCTTGGGAGTAAACCTCCTTCACTGACAATTTCATATATATCACACTGTTCTACTACTTCCAGAGGGCATTGGAGTTGTGATGCCCTTCAATGATTTATGGCAGGGGTGTCCAATGTTGGCAACTTTTAAGGCTGGTGGACTTCAAACTCCCAGAATTCTGGGAGTTGAAGTCCACCAGTCTTAAAGCTGACAAGGCTGGACCCCAAACTTTATATGGTCTTTACTTGTCATTCCTTATATTTTTGTTTTGTACTTTTTGTGTATTTGTATACTGCTGAGAATTCAGATTGTGGGGGAATTTTAAAAAATGCAGCCAACTGATCAATACATACATGTGTACTGAAGAAGATGAATGCACACCGATCTAGAGACATGCTATTTAATGACATCTGCCAGAGGCTGCAAATTGCAATCCTTTCTTTCTCCCTCTGCCACAAACACCCCCCACCACACACACATTCACTTGATGGTCACAAAACAAAATAATTTGCACCTGCAAACATCCCACCTGCAGCTGGTCCGTTGGCCTGTCCAAAGTACCCTGGTGGAGGCATAGGAGGCATCACCAAGTTGAATGGGATAGGAATGTTCATGGTGGTGACATGACTGGGCCCAGCACTGATCATCCCAATCTGATCATGGGTTTGGAAATACATGTTGGATGGCCGGCCTGAGAACATGCAGAAAAAGATGTTGAGTAGTTTTAAGATAAAGATAGCTACTGTAATATATTACCCGAGTGTTTTTCTCCTAGTACAAAATGGGTTAAGGAATTATTTGCCTCCTAACTTTCGGTTTGGAATGGCACATGGAAAATCCATAGCATGTATCCCGCTGAATCTACTGGGCAAAGGTGAGTTGCTCTTGGCCAGCAACCCCATTAAACAAACTAATAAATCAGAACAATTCATAACTACAGAATGCAAGGCAGGCTATGGCTACCGTGTTTCCCCAAAAATAAAACTGCCTGGTCTTTTTTGGGGGGGTGGGGGGGTGGGAAGGGGAAATGTTCACTGACTCACCTCATTTGCGCACATCGCCCCCGGCCTCCTTTTCGCTGTCAAGAGGCCTTCAGAAAAGCCTGGCCAGCTGCAGAAGAAATGGGCCAGCAAGGCAGGTGTCAGGGTGTGTGAGGTCTGACCGCAACTGTCCAAAGGTAAGCAGTAGGGCAGCTCCGCCCCATCCCCACCCTGGCTTAATTTTTACCCGTGCACCCTGGAGTGGGCAGGGTCTTAATTAGGGCTTATTTTGGGGGGTGGGGCTTATATTGGGCACATGTGTAAAAATCAAGCTAGGACTTACTTTTGGGGTAGGTCATATTTCTGGGGAAACACGGTAGTTTAGGAATTTAGCTATTTTGTGCCTAGGAGCCAATATATCACTTATCTGGATTAAAGAAAATCCTAACATCTCTTACCTTGGCTGCTGCGATCATAAACGGATCCAGGGATAATAGCTTCACGGGCATCATACATAGCAGTTGTCATAAACCGGGCTCCCTAAAACAGAAAAATTCAAATATATGAAGAGGACATAAAAACTATTTTTGTTCTGTCACAAACATCTGGAATAGCTACAGAGAGAAGACTAACTTCTTGCCTCTAGACAAGATGGGCGGCATTTAAGTCTAATGAATAAACTTTCCTTACAGGACTCTTGAATTATATAGCTTTCCTCCCAGCTCTGCAAAGGGGTAGAGTTTTGCTAGAAAAGATATCTGGGAGATGCTCCCAAAGCCGCCGCCGCTGCTTTATGCAAGTTGACTCATAATCTGAATCAGCTTAAAGCAGACATTTACTTATTAACCAATTTACTGATTATATGGGTGGAGTGACTAACTTATATAACAGAAATTAAAGGCATTCTCCAAGCCACTGAGTCCAAATTCATCTGTGTGAATATGTGGAGTCTTTGATGCTCTCTGAGCTTGGTTGTTTGCAGATGTTTCATTGCCCAACTGGAAAACAAAACCAGTGGTAATAAGTGGAGGTGTGGGTTTGCTCCCCGTTTATATACAGTAGCTTGTCCTGCCAATGTTGGTGGGGGTGGGGTTTTCTCCTTGGTAGTTCCTTCATTAAGGTACAGTTTTTGCTTGATTGCTTTCCTGGGTATTCGCTGGACAGGATGTACTCAGGTGTTTTTGTTCTGTTCTTAGTGTTCTTATTGTCTCTTTTGAATGACATTTAGATGTGACTTATCTCTCTGTGTCTATTGATTTGTCTGAATGCCAACTTTCCTGAATTCCCTAGCATTTTCGCATTTAGATTGGTCTAGGATACTTATAGTTTCCCAGTTGAAATTATGGTTGAATCTGTCCATGTGGAATTTTCATCCTATCTACTGACTGTGCTCTGCTGGTCTTCTGCCTGTCTGTCCTTTTTACACTGTATGTTGAAGATGATCTTCTTGGACTATTGGATCTTTTCATTTACTGAAGATGTTTTTAATGGCTTTTGTTGGTTTGCATGCTATGGTGATGTCATCTGTCTGTAATAGTCTGTTGTTTATTTCTGAGATTTTTTTTTGATATATTGTTGTGTTATCCTTTTCATACTTTGTGTTAGTTATGCTCTACTGGGCTGAGTGATCAAGAAGAAAATAGTACTCTAATCAAGGAACTACTAAAGGAGAAAATTACATCTCCTCAACACTCAAAAATTTAATCTTGAGCTACATATATATTGTTTCTTGTAAAATGTTTTTTGGATAAAATACTATAATTTTAACTCTCTGTTTAAATAATTATGAAAGTTTTCTTTCAAAATTAATGTTTCCCTATGGCGATGATGGCTTTAATTTCCCTGATTTTAAAGTATTCTACTGGGCTAGAATGCCCTAGAACAGTGTTTCTCAATCTTGGTGTCTTTTAAAGATGTCTAGACTTCAACTTCCAGAATTCCTCAGCCAGAATTCTGGGAGTTGAAGTTCATATATCTTAAAGTAGCTAAGGTTGACAAACACTGCCTTAGAATGCAATTCATCCAAGCCTGGAGATTTAAAGTTATTCGAAGAAAATAACTTTTTTTCCCCATCCAATGCTCATTCCTAGTCCTTGATCTCACTTTTCATAATTGCTTGTGGTGGTTGAGGACAGTTAGCAGCCTACCATCTCTCTTGAGCAGTTGGTATATTGTTTTCCTCTTTCCTTTTTTTCAAAAATCTCTTTAGGTTGTCCTTGGCATCTTTTGCCAATCTCAGCAAATTCTGAATTTTAGCTTACTTGAAACAACTTTTGACTTTTCCAGGTAACTTAACAAGCACTCTTGCTGGTAACTTGTCCTTTTATTCTTTGTGCCTTTTTTCTTGTGAGATCTTCACAAAGCTTTTTGCACAGCCACATTTGCACTTTCAGTTGTCCTTCCTTTTTAAAACCTCATTGGAATTATCATTGTCATTGTATAATTATATTCCTTTATAACAGGGTCTCCATCCCAACCTGAGTCTTTTCCTACTTGCTTCATCTGTCATGAAATACTGCGACTATGGGCAGCTTTAATAATCCTTAAAATATATTAAATGGTTACTTTTTCCCACTCTTCCTATTATTTTCATTTCAGCCAAGTCTTCTAATTAAATTAGAATCAATTCCAGATTAGCTTACCCACTTGATCTCTCCTCACTGCTATTCATGTTTGTTTGAAAAATCTGTACTTCACTTTGAAATTGGAGAATACTACCTAGATCTTTTTCTTAGTTTGATGTGTGCAAATCAATATTAACAGACTGGCTTATATTTGCTTCTTGTTGTAGCCCAAATATTCCCTATATTCCTATTTATTGGATTTCTGAGCAAGATTGGTTATTTTAACATACATTTCAATTCTGTCTTTCTACATCAGTAAACTGCATTCTTAACTGCCATATTCCACTTGGCGAATTCAATCTTCCAACTCTCTAATAAGCAATTTCTATTTTTCACTGAGCATTCTTGGTAAGCCTCATTAAAATAATGCTTCTTTCTAACATTCACAAGTTTTATCAGAGTTCCTTATTTCAAGACTTTCATCTTCAAGCCACACCAGTTAGTTTAAAATCTTCTCAGTCAAGTTCACTGTGCTTCAGGCTCATCAGTTTTGATTTGTATGATGTAACCCAACTTCTACCACATGGATTAACAAGGAAGGGATAGCGGTCAGCAGACTTGATAAGCTTTGGAGGTTGCTGTGTCATATGTCTGGATTCTGCTTTTGGCACACAGAAGGTTATGAAACATGCCTATACTTATTTCTAGCACTGGTGAGGTGGTGTAAAAGTAAATACCATCAGTACAGTATTATTGGTGAGCCTTAGGTTGCCTCTTTTGTATGCCCTTGTACAGGTGGTCCTTATTTTACAACAGTTCATTTAGTGACATCACTGAAAAAAGTGACTTATGACCATTTTTCACTTACGACCATTGCAGCATCCCCAGTCACATGATTTACGTTTGGATGTTTGGCAACAGGTTCGTATTTGTCTGATCTTCTGAGAAATCAAGTCAATGGGAGAAGCCAGATTCACTTAACAATCATGTTACTAATTTAGTAACTGCAGTGATTCACTTAACAAATGTGGCAAGAAAAGTCGTAAAATGAGGCAAAACTCATATTTCTCACTTAGCAATATTAATTCTGGAGTCAATTGTGGTCATAAGTCAAGGATTACCTATTATCTTGTAGAACCAGAGCTTCAGGATACATTTTAAAATTTGCATGTTGCTTTGGAGGGATTTTTGCTGAATTTTATGTCTGACTGCTCTCCTGTCACCTGACACTAAGGAATAAGTGTGAGTTTTGTTCATTAACTGCGTGGCCTAAAGACACTACTACAAGATAGGTATCATCCTTCACATTTGATCCGGGGCTCAGCGACTTGCAATCCATGGTACTGTTAGCAAAGATAAAGATTGCGTCGTGTTGAGCCTAAACTCTGGTGACTGCATACATTCAGGCTTCTTGAAATGTCCCTTCCTTCTCTTGTGTTTTTTCAGGGTTTGATTGTATTTATTGATTTAGAAAATTTGTATGGCTTCCCACTCACTCAGTGACTGGGCAGTTTGCGAAAAGCAAAACCCAATATGGAACAATAAAAACAATAGCTGTCACCCCTGTTTTTACAACTATATGCTATTATTGGAATGAGGACTGCTTATTCTAATTTTTGGAAGGGGTCAGTGAAATATTGTCACTCTTAATAATCTTATTTAATTTTATTACCACCTTTCCCTTTATTGCCTCTATTTCCCCAGCATACTATCCAACTTTTATAAACAGGTAGCCCTCACTTTCTGACCATTCATTCAGTGACTGTTCAAAATCACAACAGCACTGTAAAAAGATGTATGACCAGTCCTCTAAATTGCGGCTATCACAACTTTCTGTGGTTACAAGATTGTGATTCAGTAGCTTGGCAACTAGAACGTATTTACAACAGCTGCAGCATCCCACAGTCACATGACTGCCATTGGCAACCTTCATAGCTTGCCTCCAACAACCAAAGTCAAAGGTGAAGCCAGTAGGAAGTCACAATTCATGGTCATGTGACATTGTACTTAATGATCACAGGCGATTCTCTAATGACCCACAGTCAGAACTGATGTCATAAGTCATATGACTTTTCATTTTATGGCAAGTTGCTTAGTGACAGAGTTGCCAGTCCCAATAAGTGAGGACTACCTATATTCTTAAGCCTAAAAAAAACCTGTCACTTTTACTTGTTTGCTCTCATTTTTACAATCAGAAAAACTACAGGTTGAAATTATTTTTGTGTTAACATTTAACATTATTCCAGATGTTCACCTTCCAGTTTTCTTTCATAATGAGCTTATGTGTTCCTCACTTTCAGTGAAATGGTATCATCCATACCACAGCGGTGTATGGACGCCTACTCTGATTCCAGCTATCATCTTTTTCAACCCTATCTTTCTTATAATAAATGCACTACAAAGGAAAAATACAAAAATAGTATTGTCTTAATCATTTTCTCCAAAGTCGGTTCTTAAAAGCAGTTTATTCTTTATTGGAAGGGGCCTCTAGAATGAAACAGGTAGTCCTCGACTTACGAACACAACTGACCCCAAAATCTCTGTTGCTAAATGAGACTCTTTTTTTGCAGTAATCTCACAAAGAAGATTGCGCTGTGTGGAACTTACTGGGTTGATAGTGTTGACCAGTTTTCGAGGCTTGCTGAACTGCATGAGGCTCTCGCGGAGATTGTTCAATGGTCCCTCCACCAGGACCTTTTGCTCCTTGTAGTAGTTCAGAAGGTGATTCCAGAGAGGCTGCTTGGAGAGTGCCTTTGGATTCCCAACAATAATGACCCCATATCTAAAAAGACAACAGGAAAACACTGTGAAGGGTTACTTGCTTACCAACTCATTCATACTTCAAGTTATTTGTTATTAATCTTGTTGCAAGGATGACCCACTCTTGAATATTGCCCGTTGTATTTCCTTTAAGTCAGGTAGGTAATGACTGCAGAGAAACAAATCCCTTTGATATGGAAATATCATATATGGAAAATGCCTTCCTAGTCAATCTCCTTTCAGGGCCTTCTTTGCCTGGGTCTTCCAGAAATATCACCTAAGCTGATTTTAATCTAATGGTGGGATTGTTTCTCCTAGTTTTAGTATTTATTTTGATTTTGTTATTTTTATAGGCCTATCATACTATTTTCTTTTGTATTCAATTTAGATTTATTCAGCACTGTAGCTTTAACACTACAGCTTGTACCTGACTTGCAACCATTCGTTTCATGACCATTCAAAGTTACAATGGAATTTTAAAAAGTGACAAACTTCCAGCATCCCCAATAGTCACATGAATAAAATCTGGACGCTTGACCACGGGCTCCCATTTATGAAGCTGCAGTGTCCCAGGGTTATGCAATCACCTTTTGCAATCTTCCGACAAGCCAAGTCAATGGGGAAACCAAATTCACTTAATAACCATGTGACTAACTTAACAAATGTTTTACAATAACTGTGGCAAGAAAGATCATAAAATGGAGCAAAACTCATTTAACAACTATTTTGTTTAGCAACATAAGTTTGGGGTTCGTTGCTGTTGTACTTTTAAGCAGTTTTTATATTTGTACTTTTAAGCAGTTTTTATATTTGTAATTGTGAAATGTTTGTGTTTTTTTATCTTGTTGTAAGTCACTCAGAGTTGCCTTGAACTGTGAGATGAGTGGCAACTAAATTTGATAAGTAAAAATCACAAGCATGTCTTATAAATTTACCCATAAGCACATGAGAAAACTAAAGAAATACCACACACATCCTTGTCCTCTTATCTTTGATTTTGCATTTGCAATTAACTCTAAGGATTTCTTAACTAAATAATGCATTTCAAATGAATATGAAATGAAATAAAGAATACATTTGAAGTTTTAAAAAATTTGGTTGAGCTTTTTAACAGCCATACAAATACAGTTAATAGCTGCCTGAGCCAATGAAAAACATCTTTTCAGATTGGAAAGTTTTTTTTTCAATCTGGCTCCATCCAAAATGGGTAATTAAGGGATTCTGAAAGCAGGGATTCTATCTTGGATGATTCTGGAAAGTCCAAACCTTGCTCTTGTGAGAGCCACATTGAGACGCCGGGGGTCATTCAGGAAGCCAATGCCTTGATGTTCGTTGGCTCTAACACAGGAGAGGATAATGAAGTCCTTCTCTCGCCCTTGGAAAGCATCAACACTAGCGATTTCGACTTCCTGTAAAAGGGGGCGGGGGGAGAGAGAAGCGAGAAAGACTTCTCAAAGCAAATTTCTCATTTTCCCACATTTCAGTAATGCTATGTAATACAGGTATTATATATTGCATGAATATGGAACACCTCTTAAGGATTCTAACTTTGAGATTCAGTATTTCAAAACAGGATGGAATCCCAGAAATAATCTTGTCTGATCCTTGAGGGAGGGGGAAATGAGGGCACCCACACATTACAAAATGTTTTATTTTAATAAATAAACCTGAAATGGAGGGGAGGGGCAAATTTTCTCTCATGGGATGAAATACAAGCCATCGTCACAACCCTTTCTCCAAAGCAAATAAGAATTACACACTTAAATAGTTATCTTTTCTAGGTGGAAGTTAAACTACATAAAGTTTTTTTTTGAAGTTCCTAACTATGCCACTTCGATTAAAATATTTGTAAATATAGTACACATGCTTTGAAACAAATGCAAAAACTAGCTGGGTTTCTGCAAACCTGGGAATACAAAGAATTAAGAAAGAAAAGCATAACTGACTACCTGATAAAGTTTGGTATGCAAAGATCCACTAAACTGCATGTATTGCACCAAGTATGAACGCTGGCCCTCATAGGGTGTGATGATACCAATCTGATCTGGCTTTGCACCAGCCTTCAGTAGCTTTGTGGTTATTTTCTCCACATTGGCTGCCTCTGTTCTGTAAGATAAGGGAGGAGAGGAAAGAAGAGTGAACTCAATTTCTTATCTAAGCTCATATAAAGTTTGTATGTTTATTCAAATAGGCAAAACATTTTCCCAAATATTAAAATGAGGAAGGGACAAGATTTTATTTATTACATTTTCCCTCACTTCAATTACTTTATAAGTAATTCAAGGCAGTGGACATATCTAACATGCTTTCCTATTTTCTCCAGAACAACCATGTGAGGTAAGGTGGCTTTCATGCCTAAAATAGGATTAAAACACACATTCTCCTGATGATTGGCCCAAGGTGCAGAAAAGAGCAAACAAGATGATTAGGAGACTGGAGGCTAAAATGTATGAAGAACGGTTACAGGAATTGGGCATGGCTAGTCTAGTGAAGAGAAGGACCAGGGGAGACAGGATAGCAGAGTTCCAATATTTGAGGGGCTGCCACAAAGAGGAGGGGTCCAGCTATTTTCCAAAGCACCTGTAGGCCAGACAAGGAATAATGGTTGGAAACTGAACAAGGAGAGATTTAACATGGAAATAAGGAGAAACTTTCTGACAGTGAGAGCAATCAACCAATGGAACAGCTTGCTTTCAGAAGTTGTGGGAGCTTCATCACTGGAAGCTTTCAAGAAGAGATTGGACTGCCATCTTTCAGAAATGGTGTAGGATCTCCTGCTTAGGCAATGGGTTGGACTAGATGACCTACAAGGTGCTTTCCAACTCTGTCAATCTGCAAAAGGTCACCCAGCCAGCATTCATGGTTAAGGCAGAACTCAAGAGTCTCCTGACCTTTAGTCCAGTACTTAACCTGGTCTAGCACCTTAATCATGAGACCAAACTGGCTCTCACCGTTAATAATGTTAATCTTTATCTGACTTAATCACATTCTCCTATTTTTGAATAAAGGGACTCTATTAACTAACAGGAGAGATGCCTTGCCTGGCCTACCAAGTAATCAACTGAACCTCTCCCTTCTTTCTCAGATATAGGTTGCCATTGATCTTTTTTACCTGTTCAAATAAGAAGTGCCAGAACTTGCAATTTCTTCTTGCCCCTGGGTCACGTAGAAAAACATGGGCTTGTCTGGCTGAGGCCATTGGAAGTCAAACCCCTTCTTCACACGGTCTGCTGCAGGAAAGATGGGACTCATTCATCAGTATAAAGGTCTTCAGTGAATCCTATTTCATTTGATTAAAATGGAGGTTTTCAATCTCAAAGAAGCACCTCAGCAGCATCAACCCCCTCCCCCTAATCAACTGTATCCCAAAGTCAATACCAGTATTTCTCAACCGTGGGGATTTTAAGAAGGATGAACTTCAACTCCCAGCATTCCCCAGCCAGCATAGCTAGCTAGGAAATCCTGGGAGTTGAAGTCCATCCCTCTTAAAAGTTCCCACGGTTGAGAAATGCAGGTTAATACAATTGACAGAGATGCTTCTTGGATACTAAAACCTGCCAATACTCATAAATTCCCTGTAATCTAAATCCCCTCTGCACACAATTTTTTTTAAAAAAACTTGTTTACCTGCAGTGACACCATTCTGGAGTGATCCTTCATAAAAGATGTTGGAAGGAAAAGCACTCAGGGCTGGGTGCATACGGTACTGAACTTGCAGGCGAATGGGCCGAATGCCCAGCACCACCAGTCGCTCAAAGAGGGATTGCGACAGACCTGCTTTAGCTGCCTTCTTGCACATTACGACAGGGCCGAGCTGGCAATGATCGCCCACAAGGATCAACTGAGAAAACAAGAGATCTGATCAATGCACGCACACCCCTGCCATCTGCAGAAAACCTAGGTACTGCATATCAGGTGCCAATCGAGAGGCAAGGACTGAAAGCCACTTTGAATGGTCCGTGTTTCCAAGCAGTAGCTAGGAAAGGGAGGAGAGTTTCTTGTCATCTGCCTTTGATCTGCAAGTGGTCCTCGACTCACGTCCACAACTGAGACCAGAAGTTCCACTGCTAAGCAAGGTGGCTGTCACAGCCGATTTTATGGCATTTCTGTTACAGTATTAAGCAAATCACTGCAGGTGTTAAGTGAACCATTCTGCTATTTTAGCAAAATCTGGCTTCTCCCCCATCAACTTTGTTTGTTGGAAGGCAGCTGGGAAGGTCGCAAATGAGGTCACATGACAATGGGAAACTAGAATTGTCATTTGCCAAATTTCAATCATATGATCCCAGGGGTGACTGCAACACTTGTAAGTGCAAGGACCGGAAATGTCACTTTTTTTCCCATGCTGTTGTAATTTTGGACAGTCACTAAATGAATTAAGTCGAGGACAATCTGTAATTCTGCCTCAGCCATTGGATGGGTGGCATTCACTTATGCCTGTTTAACCTCTTGATATAAAGGTCGAGTCACATTATTGCAGAGATAACATATAAATTTAATAAATACAATTTAAAAAATAAAGCTATTTATTGTTCTTCTCCACAATCATCTGAGTTCTACCATAGCCTTATTTCTTATTTGTTTTTTTTTCTCCCCTCTCCAACCAGCTTCATACTTTTTTCCAGACTTCATCAATTACCTCATCCTGGATTCCCCTTTCAAGCCTTCTAAGAACACCAAATTTTAATTTAGACAGAAATTTTAAAACACAACAATTTAGTATTTGCATGTGGGCAATTGTGCAATGTGCCTTCTTATCTAAAATCTCCATTTCAAACAATCTGAATTCTCTTCCTGAAGCTTCAATGTAGGTCATTTAAAAAAAAAAAACCCACACACATAACCAACCTGCTCATACAAACTATCTTCAAAAAGAAAAAGAAAAAACTAAAAATAAAAAATGGAATAGCTAAATGTTTATTTACTTTTTATTCCTATATCAAAGTTCTTAACTGCCCATCTCCCTCATAGACGGGCTCTGGGTGGTATACAATTTAATCAATATAATAAAACTTTAAAAACTGAATAATTTAAGCAGCCCCAGCTTACCTGTTTTGCCCCAAGAACAACAGGCACCATGCACTCTGGCTCAGTGGCCTGTGTGCTTTCATCAATCAAAATGGAACGAAACTGCATTTTAGCAAGCCTTGGGTCGCCGGCTCCGACACATGTGCAGCAAATGACATCTGCATTCTAAGGGGGATAAAACAGCAGAGTTTCAGGATTGTTGATCACATGGCATACTGCTCCTGCTCCCCTGACTCTCTATACTAAGCTATGATGTGGCTTCCTTGCATTGCATGCTGTACCCACCAGGAATTTCATTACCGGAAGAGAGTTTGGAGATACCGTGTTTCTCACAAAATAAGGCCGGGCCTTTTTTTTTTTTTGAGCCCCGAAAAAACGGCTAGGCCGTCTTTTCGGGGGTGACTTAATTTCCCCCCCTTGCATCCTCATCTAGAGCGCCCTGCGGGCAGCCTCGCCACCAGCCGCTCCTAACGGGTGATCATGGCGAAGCGCAGAGAGCTCCCTACTCCCACCAAACACCTTTGCTGCAGACCCAAGACCTTTGGCACCCGCCGCTGTTGCTTTCCCTTCTGCCCATTCCGCCGCCACATTTGGAGCTGCCGCTTCCATGTTTGGAGTGCCGCCGCCATTTGGAGCACCACCGCCATTTGGAGCACCACCGCCATGTTTGGAGCTGCTGCTTCCGTGTTTCGAGCTGCCGCCGTGTTTGGAGTGGCGGTGGCACTCCAAATGGCGGTGGTGCTCCAAATGGCGGCGGCACTCCAAACATGGAAGCGGCAGCTCCAAACACGGAAGCGGCAGCTCCAAATGCGGACATGGCAACTCCAAACAGCGGCAGTGCTCCAAACAGCGGTGGGGTTCCAAACGCGGAAGCGGCAGCTCCAAATGCGGAAGCAGCAGCTCCAAACAGCAGCAGTGCTCCAAACAGCGGCAGCGCTCCAAATATGGAAGCGGCAGCTCCAAATGCGGAAGCGGCAGCTCCAAACGGCAGCAGTGCTCCAAACATGGAAGTGGCAGCTCCAAACGTGGCGGCGGCATGGGCAGAAGGGAAATCAACAGTGGCGGGCACTGAAGGTCTTGGGTCTGCCACAAAGGTGCTTGGCAGGAGTAGGGAGCTCTCCGCGCTCTGCCATGATCGCCCATTAGGAGCAGCTGGTGGCGAGGAATTGCTGCCCGCGGGGCGCTCCTAACGGCAAGTCCCCCCGCCCTTCCCCCCATTTTGCATGTTTTAAAATAGGCCTAAATTTGGGGGGAGAGGCTTAATTTGATTTTATGCCAATAAAACATGCTGGGCCTTCCTATTGATGGAGGCCGAATTGTTGGAAAAACACAGTAGGATCACTCTTCTGTTTTTGCTGCATTGAAGACGAACAAGGACACAGCTCACCTACCTGCACCAGAGCAATCTTGAGCACAGAGTATCAGCCCTGTGAGAGACCAGGACAGCAGCTAAGTACAAGGAAATAATTACCATTAGCAATTCCCGCTCAGCTGTTCGTTTAAGTGCTCGGTAGCGTTTCTCATCAGCGGATGACAGTTCCCCAGTCTCATCTTTCAGTTGCTGCAGTTTCTGGAGCTCTGGCATGCTGAGAAACAAAATATGCACTACTTAGAATGTTATAAGTGCAGGAAATGTTACAACTATCCTTGTTTCATCACGTTGCATCCTGCTTTTAAGGTATCACAATTCAAAGGCAACAAGAACAAACACTGAGGGCATTAGCGACAACAGGAAACAAGGCAGTATTGCACAAAAAATAAAGTTAAACTTCTGTCTCAAAGTTAATCTGCAGACACAAAGAAATTCATTCCTTTTAATAAACTCAACCCTAGAGCAAAGAACTCTTAGCATAATGCCTAAAGCTTAAGGGTTGTGGAAAATATGAAATTATGATCCATCAGAATGAATGCAAGAATAAAAAATACCGGCAAGACCATTTCCAGTCACGTCTTACCTATCCATATTCCTGATCTGGTTATGCAGTGCTAAGAAAGAGACAGGTGAATCAATGGCCTCGCGGCTCTTTGCACACAGGCGCACCACCTTCAGCCCCGTCTGATGTATTTTTTCTGTCAGCTGGTCCACAGCAATGTTACTTGGGGCACAAACCAGCACAGGCCTTTGAAAATAGCATGAAACTCTGATTAGATGAAAAACTGAGACCAAACAATTCCATCCAACCAAAACCTCCTCCCTTTTTTATTTGGGATAGCTCTTGCCAAACTATAAATTTAATGCAAACAAAGGGCTAACAGAGATTACAAAAACAGATCTGCCAATATCAGATTTTAATCCTGCCTTTATTACTTTATAAATAATTCAAGGCAGCAAAAGTACATAATATTTCTTCCTCCTTCTATTTTCCCCACAACAACTACCCTATGAGGTGGGCTGAGAGAGGGGGGGGGGGAGAGAGAGAGAGAGAGATTGGCCCAGTCACCCAGCCTCATGCCTAAAATGGGACCAGAAGTCACAATTTCCTGATTTGTAGGCCAGCCCCTTAACCACTACAGCAAACTGGCTCTTATTAAGGATAGCACAAGCGTCCACAATGAAGATTAACAGGTTTATGGTTGAGCAAAAAAAGGCCCATCTCTGACCTCTTAACAGTTGCTAGAATCTGGACAGAAGCATTTAGATTTTTGAAAATTTGATGGAGTGTCAGAGATGGCAGCTGCATGGTCAAAAGTCCCATCTCCTTTTACGAGTGTCACATCCACATTCCAAAGCACAGACTTTTAATCATAGATTACAGTAAATCTATTCTGCCCTCTGGGTTCTGAGCTAGTGTGTCCTTTCTCTCTTACCCATTTCCTTGCCTTGCCAGGTGATACACAATTGTGGCTGATGTCACAGTCTTGCCTGTGCCAGGGGGCCCCTGGATAAGACTCAAGGGACGCTGCAAAACAGTCTTCACTGCATACACCTGACAGTAGAAGTAAAGAAGACTGTGAAGTCAAGCAGGTTATAAACCCAACACCTAAAACTCTCATTCCAATTCTTGGGTTTTCTGTGGAACAGGACAAACCTGAGAATGGTTGAGGTCCGGAAGTCCTTGTGCTGTGAAGCGCTTTGGCAACTGACATTTAATTATAACATCTTCCACCTCATGACCCAGAAGTTTGTGATAGATGTAACCAGAAACTGATGTTTCATCCACAGCAAATGTTTTTAGGGCACTCTGCATTCTGAAAAAGAGAGGCACAAGTGTGCACTTTGGCACTTTCTCACCCTCCCCCCAAAAGCAAAATCAAGAGCTGCCCCCTAAATAAAACTGCACCAACCTATCAAAGGATGTTGATTTCCATACAAAATCTACTTGGAAATTGTGAGTCACTTCCACAGGAGCACCAACACTACTTCTCAACTCAATTGCAATTTCATCACCGTAATCTACAAAAGCTTGTTAAGCAGTAATTTCAGAAAAATCTAAGGCACTACGTGCCTTCCTATTGCTACACATACCGTTTCTCCAACAATATGGCCTCCCTCAATAGGAAGTCCCAGCATGTTTTATAGGCATGAAGTGAAATTAAGCCCCTCCCCCAAATTAAGGCCTATATTAAAACATGCGAAATGGGGGGAATGGTGGGGGGGCTTGCCGTTAGGAAGTACTTTTGTTGCACACCCGGATATGGCGCTGCCTGCGTTGACCCTGATACGAAGTGCCCCACCAACGCCGAGGTCAACATCCAAGCCATCACCGCCCGCCCGAAGATGCAAGGGGGGGGGGGAATTAAGTCACCCCTGAAAAGACGGCCTAGCCATTTTTTCGGGGCTCAAAAAAAAAAAAGACCCGGCCTTATTATATGAGAAACACGGTAGACTGATGCGTAACTTTACAGAACCATATTTTATTTATTTACCTGAAGGCTCATAGTGTACTACTAGAATTCACTATCACTATTAATGGCCTGGAAAGATAACCAGGCAGAGAATTATAAGTAAGTTGAATGTTAACAGAGGCAAAACCAAAGTTACTTTAGCATTGTTTAATTTTCTGCATGACCACCAAGAATTTTAAGGCAGTTCAGGAAAAAAGATACTTGTCATTCATAATTCTAGTACAAAAATCTGGCAGCAAATCCATTTGCCAGGTAGTACATTCTCATTCTGCATCTTCCTCTATTTGTGAAATTAAAAAGGATACTGTCAGGAACTTTAATGACATGGCCAATTCCTTTCCACAGTGGTGCCAAATCCCCTTTGTATCTGAGGCAGATCTCATCCCCTTGCATCAAACGCATATCTGAGGAGATAGTAAATAACTTTGAATATTTTTTGAAGATAGCACTGTATATGGTATCATTTGCCCACTGACTTTTATTAACCAAATCCACTTTTTAAAACTTGTTGATATTGCTAATTCCAGTCTGACCTGAATCAGTCTTCGGCAGGGTGAAGTAGGCAATCCTTTTCTTGTTCAAACCAAGATCCCATCTCACAGTAATGTTGTCTTGAGTCTAAAATAAAGACAATTCTTTATTTTTTGATTCTTTAACTAGAATCAAAGCTGATCTGGACTTTTATCTCCTATTTTATTCCAGTGGATGAATCACTTATATAAACTTCTTTGATTACTTTTTTAGAAATGTGCTCGATTCAATGCTTGCTAGAAGATTTCAAATGCATCAGTAATAACAATATTAAGGGGACCAATTAATCTGATTAATTCAGTGGAGCTCATTCATAGACAACTGAAGTTCTTTTCCTATTCACCATCTAGTTGTCTTCTCACTTGATTATTTGCAAACGTACAGAATCCACATGCAGCTTTAGAACTATCAGACTGCCCACTTCTAATCTATTAATAACCCACCTTTTTTGTCAGATTATATTTGCTGCAATGCCTGTTGCTTTCTACTGAAGAACAATACATGTTTATAGCAGATCACTCTGTCTGTATCCACAGACTTCAAGATAGAACAGAATACAAATTAAATAATTCGAAAAAATTTCTTTAAGGAATACAAAAAAACTCTGCCAACAAAGCACTTATTGAAAGCAGCTCAACTATAACAAATACAATCTGTAGAAAATATAACACTGAAGCTATCAATAGAGGCCCATATATTCATAATACTGAAATGAACATGTAACCATTTACACTGCCTAGTGCAAGCAGATAAGATTGCATCACAGAAGTTGATGTTTCCATCTATAAAGATAGAAGCTTAATCTACTTGTCTTATAGTCAAAGCTATGGTTTTCTCAGCAGTAATGTATGGCTGTGAGAGTTGGATCATAAGGAAGGCTGAGCACCAAAGAACTCAGACTTTCAAATTGTGGTCCTGGAGAAGACTCTTGAGAGTCCCTTGGACTGCAAGATCAGATCAGTCAATCTTAAAGGAAATCAACCCTGATTGTCCTTTGGAAGGACAGATCCTGAAGCTGAAATACTTTGGCCGCTTCTCTTCCTGGAGGCTCTTCACTGGAAAAGGCTCTGATGTTGGGAAAGATTGAAGGCAAAAGGAGAAAGGGACGGCAGAGGACGAGATGGTTAGTGCCATTCATGTAATGAACATAAATTTGGGCAAACTGGAAGAGAGGACAGGGGAGACTGGCATTCTATGATCTATGGGTCATGAAGAGTTGGACGTAACTTAGCAACTGAACAAGTCTTCTGCTTAAAAATTTTATCAGAGAAACACAGTAAGTACCAACCACCAACTCCAGAACTCAATGAATTATGGAACTAGTTCAAAGTAGGAAGTATGTGCAGCTTCCACCATTCCTTAGTAGAGAAAATGCTTCTAAGTATTTATATCAACTATATTTCAAATGCCTTCCAAACGTATGAATTATACAATCTTTCAAACGTTTACTCTCACTTAACCCCCTCTCCCCAAGCATACTGTTTAGTGTCACCAAACTATTTCAAGGGGCTGCTTCCTTTTATCCATTTTACCTGAGATTCCTTCAATTTCTTGTCATAGTCTGCCTCAAGCTTGACCAGAGGACCAAAGATGTTCTGGTACTGATAAGCGTCTTCATATCTAAGGAGGACATGCTGTGGCTCTTCATCAACCCCAGGCTTTTCCAGGTCCTCCAAAGTGGCAGATGGGTTCTCCTGCAATCACAGACAAAAGGAGGACACTAAACCCAACTTCTTCGGCTGGTTTATGGGAATCCTTCCAAAATGAGGCAACTAAATACTAGGAATATCATATCACATACTTTAAGTCACAAACCAATGAAATGCAAAGCATGTCCATTTAAATTACTAAATGTAAGGATATTGCAAATAATAACAGGCCATATCCGCCTTTGACCGAAACCACCCAGAAATCCTAATTATATACATGGCAAAGAATATTGTTGTACAGATTGTGCAAATTCCACTCAATTTGCAGAATTCATCTTTTGCTGATTAGGATGAAGGCATGAATCTAGACAAAGCTTCAAACCCCCAACAACTGGTTTTCTTATTTAACCACCTTGCTGGTTTTAATATTCAAAACTTTAACAGCATCTTCACAGTCCAGAAATTCAATTTAGAAAGAAACCAAGGATACTCTGGAAGCTGAACTCTGAACCCAATGTTATTTATGTCTGTCTGTACCCAAATATATTTGCTTATGTCTGAGATAACATCTTCTAGCTCCCCTTTTCTCTCCATGGACAACCTGAATCTTTCAAACACACCTTCCAGAGTTCTTCTAGTTTGTTAATTTGCTGAGCTGTGATCTGCCGGGCCCTCAGTTGTTCTTGTTCTGAAGGAATTTTGACTAGCCAGGAAAGGAAGCAGCGATCCTGAATCAAAGGCTGCCACTGTGAGCTGTCCCAATTGATGTCCTTTAAGCTGCTCTGGCTGGCACAAGGCTGCCTGCACAATCAGGATATGAGAGAAATATATTAGACTAATACAAAAAGTATTACTCAATAAAAAACTACATTAAAATATACACTTAATAGATTCTTGTGATCATCTTTCAAATAATTTATTTCTAAAAAACAAAAATTCTCTTACCTGCATAACAAAACCACCACGGAGTCAGCTTTGGCTGGGATGAAACCAAGAAGAAACACATTACGACAGCCACAATTATAGCATTCCAAGACGGTCTCGCCCAGAGGACCATCTTTATGAAGAGTCACTTCTTTGCACTTGGCTCTCACAAGATGGTTCACAATGTGACTGGTAAAAGAAACATTGCAAAACAATGATTGCAAAACAAACATTTTCTTTGAAATGTAGACAGAAAACTCCTTATTTATATTGGAAAAACAAAATGAAGTTCAATTCAGAATAAAATAATTGGAAGGGACCTTGGAGGTGGTCCAGACCTACCACCTGCTAAAGCAGGAGACTCTATGCCAGGGGTCTCCAAACTTGGCAACTTTAAGACCTGTGGACTTCAACTCCCAGAATTCTAGGAACTGAAGTCCACAAATCTTACAGTTGCCAAGTTTGGGGACCCCTGCTCTATGCCATTTCAGACAAATGGCTGTCCAATTTCTTAACAGCTTTCAGTGATGGAGCACCCTCAACTTTTGAAGGCAAGCCGTTCCACGGATTCATTGTGCTGTTAGTACAATTTCTCCTTACTTCTAGGTTGCTTGTTTCCTTGATTAGTATCCATTGTTTCCTGTCTTGTCTTCTGATACTTTGGGAAATAGGTTGACCCCCCCCCCCCCCCCGGCAGCCTCTCAAATATTGGAAGATTGCTATCATGGCACCCCTAGTCCTTCTTTTCATTAGAATTCAAGTAAAGAGGATATTTATTTTATATCCCGTCTTTATTATTTTTACAAATTTAACTCAAGGCAGCAAATAAGTAGTGGAGTTAGATAAAGCATCCATTCTGGGTAACACAAGGAAAAGATTGAAGGTCTTACTGGACTTCCTGGGAGGCAGTCATGACTAGTAAGATATATCAGCCAACTGATACTCCATGTTCTAGTCCTGTTTTTACCTACGAAAGCCAGCTGACTGATTTTGGGCCAGTAACTCTCTCAGACCAACCCACTTCACAGGGTTGCTATTGTGGGGAAATAGGAGGAGGAAGGAGTATAGTGGATGTTCAATACCTTGAGTTATTTATAAAAACAATGAGGGGATATAAACAAATAAAATGTTCCAGAGATACACTTTTCCTCAGGTGCTTATGCACTAGCATCATTCAAATTAAGATTATTTAACAGAATTTACTTCCAAAAGCCTTTGGAAAAGTGAGCTACCATAATGCATAATGCAATTAACTCAGCTGTTCATGGAAAACTAGCTGCTAAACCGTGTGACATTAATACAGTATCAATTGCATTGGTTGTTGATGTATCTTCAGACCCAATTCAAAGTGCAGTTTTTGATCTTTAGCTGCCTGAATCCAGCTTACTCAGGCCATCTACATCTCTATCAGGAGTCTTGCTCTTAAGAACCTTCACAAAGGCCCTACTAATGAAGAGTGCTAGTGCCAGCAATTTGAAAAAGGGGGCTTCTCAGTACAATTCCCATGTTCTAGTACAAACTGGTATGTCCCCATCTCTGCAATCTTTCAACAGCAGCAAAAACCTATTTGCTTTATGTTGCTTCTTGACTACTACATGATAGATATAGTCTTAAGTTGCTACTTTTAACTTGTTTCACGACACAGGTAGCCTTGATCACAATTGGATCTGGAATTTCCATTACTAAATGAGGTAATTGTTAAGTGAGTCATGCCCAATTTTACTACCATTTTGCTATGGTCATTGAGTGAATCACTGTTATTAAGTCAATCCAACTTCCCCATAAACATTGCTTGTCAGAAGCCAGCTGGTAGGTGACAAATGGAAACCTGACCCGACATGCTACAACTGTCATAAATACATGCCAGTTGCCAAGGGCTCAAATTTTGATTAAGTGACCATGGGGACACCACAACAGTTATAAGGTCATGGAGCAGTCATGTCATTTTTTTTCAATGCCACTGTAACTTCAAACATTTGCTAAATGAATGCTCATAAATCAAGGACTACCTGTATTTAAGTCAAATAGTATTCATTAATGATTCCTACTGCTATTGTTATTTCCCTATATTGTATTCATAACACATTAAGGGATTGTATTTTATGAAATACTAACAAACTTTTGTTTACATAATAGAAAATACCTTATGGGGACTTAGCTCTAACAAGTCTGCCCTACTAAAATGTTGGTAAGGTTTAAGCCATTGTAGAAAGCACTTTCAAGCGAGACTGAATTTTTGCAGACATTGGGAAGTCCCATAATTCAACACTAGAGTACAAGTACTTATACTCAACAGGGACCTAAGCTCAATTGGCTCAAGTTCTCCCTCAAGATTTTGGATAGTTGCTTACAGTGAAAGTTGACCAATTATTTGAATTAGCACCTGAAAGCTTTCTGTGTTCATACATTTAACAGAAGTGAATTATGTTCTCTTTGTGAATGTGAATATTTACCTGCCAGAGGTATTCCCACGTCCATTGCAGAACCACTTCTTGCTGGTGTTACAATAGACCACACAAGCTGGGTCATGGATGCCACAATAGCTAAGGAAAACATCGAAGGACCATCACTGTAAATCAATTCTACTTCAAGGAGAGGAAATCAATGACACCTCACCCCTACAAACTGATTAAGGAATTACAAAGACTACTATGTTATTGCTTCTGAAAGCTGGCAGAAGCATTACTAACCTTCTGGACTTTATATTATCACAAGAGGCAATTGCCTCTGTGGCAATATAGCCTCTTGTGATCAATGTTAAACATCATCACACTGAACATAAGCACTGCAGCTTAAACGTATGCTCAGTCATTCAAAATGCATAGTTAGAGAATATATCTTATTCAGCTAGGCACTGCAGAATATGGCATAACCAAACCAATTTAATCTTCCAAGCTTCAGAAAAAAAGAATAACAGAGCGGGAAGGGACTTTGAAAGTTTTTTAGTCCAACCTCCTGCTCAAGCAGGAAACTATAGCATTTTAGACAAATGGTTATTTAATCTGTTCTTTAAAATCTCCAGTGTTAGAGCACCCACAACTTCTGGAGGCAGTAAAGCATAAATGCAATATTCTTAGAGAGCCAGAAGCAAGGTGTTAGAAAATGAGCTGATGCACTAAGGCACCTTAAAGCAGTGGTTGCCAACCAGTGGGCCGGGGGCCACTGGTGGTTCGCAAGAAAATTATGGTTGTCTGCAGAGAAATGTCACCCCCAAAGCAATTAATCCAGGCTGCGCGGGAACACAAGGCTGCACCACCCACATGGCCCGCAGGAACACAAGGCTTGTGTCGCTTAATATTCCAAACAACACAAGGTAGTGAGGGGAGGGGGGAAAGGGCAGGGGGGGAACTTGCCCCATGTGCCTCGCCTGGCCACCGGGCTGCTTCTTTCCACTTCTTTCTTCTTCTGCTTTTGGCTGCATGCAAGGAAAGCAGCAAAAGTCTTTCTTTCTCTCCCCCAAACTCTGCCAGAAATGAGTCTTTGGGACCCTGCAAGGCTTCCTGCTCCAAGAGGCTGCGTCAGCGTGACAAGTCTCACAAAGGTTCATTTCTGGCGGAGTTTGAGGGAGAGAAAGAAAGACTTCTGCTTCTGCTGCTTTCCTTGCATGAAGCCAAAAGTCAGTCAGTCTCTCCCTCTCTCTCTCCTCTCTCTCTCTCTCCTCCTCCTGAGAACAGAGCTGGAGACGGTATCCTGCGATCCCAAATAAAGAATGATCGATCGGTAGGAAGACAGGGTGGAGAATTTTCCTGCAGACTTTTTGGGGGATTTTCCCAGGGTCTCTGGTCCGCAGGATTTAAAAGTATGAGTTTGGTGGTCCTTGAGGTCCAAAAGGTTGGCGACCCCTGCCTTAAAGAGTCAGATATAAAACTACTTAAACATGGAATAACAGCATTTAGGTCCAAGAAAAGGCAAGAGCAATCCCATCTGATAAGAGGACTAAACTTCATACAAGATCATTGATTTTAATATAAGCTAACAAGAACGTATTGTAAATCCTTTAACTGACTGATAAAAACCATTTTCTCATTCCTCACATACTTGCCCAGGTTCTATGTGAGAGCATATACCCCGGAAGCCTAAGGAGAGAGTCACTAGATACTGGTTCTATGGTAATGATGGTAAAATGGCATGGGAAATGAAAAAGTAAATCACTCACTAGCCACAGGGAGAAAGCTTCCCCAGTGTATTAAATTGATGCCCTGTTCTCATAACACCAGGCACTACTATCTCACCTGCAGGCATGTATAGGAAGGTCCTTGGTGTAGTAAGTGTCTTCCTCATCTTCTTCAAAATTGAGCTCTGCAAGAAGTTGGCTGGTTTTAGGCACATTATCATCCACAGCCCCATTCTGGAGGATGCCATCTGGTCCATTTACCTGGAGTTAAAACAAAACAAAAGTCACATATGCAAGTAATTTATTTTTTAAAAAAGCAAGTCATACAACTTAAGGCATTTTTAAAAAAAGGATACACCACACATCAATGCCAATTTACAAGCACATGTACAGAATCTTGAATTATTATGTTCAATAAACATTGTGATGGCCTTTTAAGAAATGCTATTTTTAAACATAAATTTAAAAACAGTTTTCTGTACAGTAGTAACATTTGGTTATGATTACTGCCCCTTTGTTTTACTTCCTCTTCTATCAGCAGTCTCAAATCATACCTTTTCTTAAAGTATCCACAATATACTTTAGTCTTAAGAAAACTAAAGAAAAACTAAAAGAAAAACAGTCTCTTCAAACATCTATCCTCCTCTAAAATCACAGACTTCACTAGGTTCTTCCTTAATTCTTTTGCTTTGATCTATCCCAGTCACAAGTCTATATAGAAAGCCTCATTTCACAGGTTTCCTAAGTAATGATATAGCATCACAAAAGTTTGAAATCCACCCATAAATTTATAGACTGTAACATTTTTTGCCTGCTAAACAAGATGGGAATATCTACAATTGTTTAAACATGTTTGATACAAAAAAAATCGTCTGGTCAGAATTAACAGAACTGAAGCAATGGCTAAAGGGCTAACAATATTGACATTCTTCCAAATTCTTTCATCCCCATCACCCCAAGGCCCTGATTTAGGAACCCTAATCTTGCCTGTGCATAATAATGGTTTCCTTCAGTAGCTCTCAAAGTAAGAATAGATGAAACATTGCTACCAATGTTTCATCTATTCTTCAATGAGAGATTTGATTTCCACTTTCATCTCTTATACGGTAAGTCATTCTAATTCAATAATGGGTGATCTTGGAAGTCAAATAAATACTAGCTATCACTAATTACAAAAGGAGGAATCTCATCATTATATATTTTTAATTGTTATATCTTCAATAAGAGATTGGGTCAGATCTTTTAAAGGATTATAGCCTTAGAGAATACTATATTTCAAGAGGCTAATAAAGAATTATCAAAACAATCAACAACTAGAATTATAGGAGGGGGAGAGAATGTGAGGCCAACATGTGCCATCCTTAATGCCAAAAGCCCTCCATATTTATTTATCTATAATTTAAGAAATTAAACAAGTATTAATATCTTTGTGTGTTAAATATCCCTAGATACCACACAGGCTATATAATGATTATTAATTTTAAAAAGTGATGGTTATCAATCTTGTTTGGAAATACCAATTAGATGAAGTCACACTAAGGTGTCCAGAATCAAATCTACATATATTCCTTAATGGTCTTGCAAACCATTTAAATATGTTCTTCAAAAAAAGAAGCCAGAAAAACATCAGCACTGCAAGTACCATTTTAAGAATCAAGGCCGCGGTAGCAGTACCAAATTACATGAACTTAAAAATATCATTTATTACATATACAATTCCAGTCCTCCCATTAAACTTTCTAATACCTTCCCCAAGAAACATCATGATTACTGAAGTTTTTAAAACCAGCATGTCTACTGTTCTGGACAAGGTGGCATGTGTAAAACCTTGTGGCAAGGAAAATTGTGCAATAATGTTTTTTTAAAAAAGCTTTCCCAGTTCAAGAAAAAATCAATAATAAATCAATAATAAATGGCTGTCAAATACAAATATATTATGCTGATCTGGCAGTTTCAAAGTTTAATCAATGTTTTTCAGACTACTTCAACTAAGGAGAAAAACATGTCATTATGAATAAATTACAATAGAGTTAGAGAATAATTCCTAAAAGTTAATGCTGCAACTTAACACATATTTACTTAGGGGGGGAAATTGACCTAAACAAATATATTCCTCAAACACCTACAGCATATGAAGTTTCCAAGAAGCAAGACAGAACTGTTTATAGAACAACCTATTGTTGCTCCTTGGGCAGGCAAATCTAAGAGGCAGCTCCACAAAACTCAGGCAGTCATAAGATATAAATACATATAATCAGATATATGGAGACAATGGATGATCCAGGAGAGATTCAGAATGGCATCTCTCAATTTCTAGCACCTGCAATAGCTACAAGTCTGCAGGCACAAAGCAAAATTAAAATATTGCAGAATATATCTTTAACAAGTGATATCTTACTAGTTTACTAGGTAATTCATAAGTTCAAAATTATGTCTCAAGCCCAGTAATCTGACAAATCCATTTTGAGGAATACAAATGTAAGCATATATAACTATACTTTCCATACACAATTTACATAAGTAAACTATAATTACATGCATGGGCAAGAAGAAACCTGCTCAAACATGGGGCTCACTCTTTCTCTTCCATACAAATAAGAAAAATAAACTGCAATCTAGTTTTTTGGTGAGCAGGTTCCCAATGTGTTGCTGTATTTAGCTGTTGAACACTTTTTGGTGATCATAGACTGCAGTTAACATTTTTGAATAGTATATTAAGAAACATGGTGGACAGGGTGTTCTGAAATTTTTCTTTCACTTTTTGGATCTATCTATATAATTAAACCTATTTTAAGATTCATATTACAGGTTTTTGTCTAAATTCCTTGTGAAAATAGTAGAGAAGCCCATGTTGGATTGGGCTCTTCAGATCACAAAAATGGATTTAGTATCACAGATTGCCTATTTCCTTCATGATGAACAGTAGGCTATAAAAACTGCCTGCTTTCCCCCCCATCTGTTTAAGAAAGCCATAATTATCTTTAAAACAGATTTTCTAATCTTATGTAAAGCTAAAATAATCTTCAAACTTGAAAACCAAATTATTTTTCCCTCTCTGTTATGTTAAATAAGGAGCGAGGAGAGCAATATTAGAGTTCTGAGGATATCGTCTTGTTCATATACATAATATTGCAGTTTTGTGTTATTCAGGGTAATATTTTCAGTTTAAAATAAGACATAGAATATTTTGTAAAAATATTGCCCTCATCTGATTTTTAAAGGATTATATCTCAATGTCTTAGTACACAGCTAATTGATCAAAACCATCCCTTAAAGCAGGATGTCAAACTCATCATGTGCTGGCCCAGTCCCCACCCTGTTTAGCAAAGGGGGGGGGGACTCCTGATATGTCACATGACTCCACTGTGACAACACAAGTTTGATACCCCTGCCTTAAAGCCTCAGCATCTCAAGTGACCCAAACCAACTTACCCATAATTATGAATATTAACCTATTAGTATAAGAAAGCCACTGAAGTATTTGATTTTCCAGTAGTGAAAAATTCTGGAGATCAAAAGAGAATAGACATAACTTCTTGAATAGAAAGCTGTGCATCTAAGTATTTTACTTGCTGGGTTTACCATTCACATTTTTTATGAGCAGCAAATATAACAATATGTTTAATTCTTTCCATGTTAAGGCAGAGGACATGCAGAAGTACTATCTGTTAGTTATACAGATGTAGTACAGAAAATAGAAGTTTTAACTGTCTGAATCTTGCAGCTGTTGCTAGGTAAATCAAACACCAGTATGTTTATCACCCTAAAGTAACCAGGTTCTAATTTTTTTAATTATTTCAAGATTATTCATAACTCAACCATTCCTTAGACTGGAGTACTCATATTAAAAATACTGAGACTGAAGGCTTTCAAAAGCAGAAATCTAATTCTCATTCTTCACAGAAGACTTTTTTTTCCAAAAGGAAAAATTACTTTCCCAGAATGAATGACATAAAAATTACTTAAATGTGAACAAATTCCACATTCCAAATGTTCTGACAGCCCGGGCAGGGGAATCTCATTTCCATATTCAGCTATTCTGTAAAGTAGATGGAGATTTTAAGACTGGGATGGGAAACTTGTTCAGATCAACACCAGAAGCCATAAATATTGTGACTATATGTACCTTCATCCAATTCACAGAGCTAACATTGTTTTGGTAGGAGGCAACACAGAAACTAAGCAGCGTCAGGCTTGGTTAGCATCTCTCAGTCCTCTAGGGCAAGACTCGGAAGTAAAACAAACATCCTGGAAGAAAGCAATGACAAGCCACTTCTGTATGGCTGCCAAGAAAACTATTTAATGAAGACAAAGGTGAGTTTCCTTTTAACAGGAACAGTACACCACCACGTCTTATGTTGCTAACACTTTAAAAATACATCTTTCATCATTAGCCAACCTGAAGACCCTTTTTATTAATATACCAACATACTTTACGCTAACTGCATATAACTGCTTTAAGTTTACAATGGGTTAAATTTCAATAGTGAAATTGAGTTAGAGACAAAGAAAAGAATCAAGAGTAAGGAAAAGGAATATGCTACACATACTCTCTTCTTGACTCTGAAGAAGAGTCACATTTGAAAGAAAACCCTCTCCTGAGGAATTAAGCAACCATACTATGTTTTGAATGTCATTCCTACTTTCTATATGAGAATAAAAATATGAAGAAAATGAGGCAATGTCCTTCATTACAGCAGTGAAACTACAGAACAGAAAACTCTTAGAAAGGCACCACAAACCTATGGCATATTCTGAAAACTGACATGGAATTCTATCCTTACAGACATATTCGCAAAACTTCAAATGACTTGTCCAGAACAAGATGATTAAACCACCTAAAGGACTCACATTAGAGGAAACCTGACCTAAGATGCAAAACTGATACTACACTCTACTGTTAAGCAGAAAAAACAAAAATGCAGACTAGGAATAATCTCTTTAACAGGGTGGCATTTCCTTGGAAAAGGTAATTATACATGTACACACCTTGCCCCCCAGTTGGGGCCTCACCCAATTACTCAGAAGTTAAAGTACTATCTTATGCTGTCCTAGCCACAATACCTGCTATGATACCTTATCCTTAATTGAGAGATAACTCTTCCCTTAATCTAGGAAGAGCTTCTGTGGGTACATATTCTACTGTCGCTTGTCTAAAATTAAGATTCTTTCTCCTGCCTTTTAAAAAAAATGGTCAACCCAAGGGCAGCAAGCACACTTTATACTATTTTCCTTACAATGATAAAATACTTTTATCATAACACACATACATTTTTTTTCCATTTTCCAAACATACACACAATCCCCAGTTGTGTTTCTAGTGCTTTAAGCACTAAAAATTTCAAGAGTTTAAACCCAGAACTCACATTCTGCCGCAAAGATGATTCAACAAGTCATCTTTACAAGAACTCTTAGAAAGACCATGCAAGAAAGTCACGGAAACTAGAGAATTTTCCAATCACTTTCTTGGAAACCAATTGTGCAAATTCAACACCTCACTGACTTCAGTGCAGTTTTCTGTCAAGCAGGTGCACACAATGCTACTTTAAAGTGTACCAAGAAGGTACGAGTTAATAACAGTTTGAAGACAAAATGACTTACACACCAGCCTCAAATCAAACTTAGCTGCTACTAAGACTAATCGAAAAGCCATTATGATTCTAGCATCTAACCAAACAATTCCATATAGCCTGAACACAGCCAATTTTCTCTCGCTAAACTTTGCTTCTTAATCGGGGGAATGAGTTTGTGTTTTTTTTTTAACTTTGCAACTTCCGCAGTCTGAAACAGTTTGAAAGTCACTTGTAGCGAACAGGTTCAAGGTATCATCGGGCCCTTTTCTTTTGACAAAGTCATAGTTACCCAACTGCACGATTCTGTAATGCACACTGCCTGCAGATAAACGAGTAGATAAATGCTTCATCTATGTTCCCCCATCTGTCTCTTTCCTAGAAAAGGCCACTTTGACCAACAAAACATGTATATACGAGGAATCTCGCGCGCGTGTATTCTTTTCAATAAGCATAAAGCTAAAGTTACAGGCTTTCCTACTAGGCTCTGTACGGCTTCCTGGGGGCAATTTTTAAACAAGCCTAGAATCCAAGCTTATAAAAGCCCTCGGCCTCTCCCACTCGGGACCTGCAAGCTGCCCTTTTATCCCGCGCCAAGTGCCACACATACAAGACGTGGACTTAAAAAGTTCGCCTCCCACTCTCGTCCCCTCTTCCCCCGCCTTTGAACCCCCCTCCCCGCCTGGCGAGTCTAACTCTCTCAGCCTTCGCGGGCCTCACCTGGGCGTCCAGCTGCCCCGGAACGACGACGGAAGGCGGCCCCCCCGCGCCCACTCCGACGCCAACCCCCTGGAGTCCCGGGGTCCCCGGCGCGACGCCGCCTCCTCCGCTCCCGGAGCCTCCCCCGGGCGGCGTTTGAGTCTGGCTGGGCAAGGTGAAGTCGGTGAACTCGAACTCGGAGCCTTGCGTGTCAGCGCCCAGCAGCTCGGCCTCCTCGGTGTCGAGGAAAGTCAACGTCTGCGAACTGGGCCCGTACGCTTCCACGCTCATGATGGCGGCAGCGGAGGCGGCCGTTCAAGGTCTTCCCCGGCCTTCTTGTTCTCTTTTTCCCCTCACGGAGGAGGAGCGGAGACGGCGGCGTTGGCAACGGCGAACTGGTGGGTTTCCTTCTTTTTCTTCAGGCCCGTCAGAACGAGCGCGAGGCTTCTTATTACCTTAGCCGCGTTCTGCGCCTGCGCAGAACTTTAGGCCTCAACCGTCGACCGAGCCAGACGCTCTAACAACGGAACAGCCAATGAGCAGGCGACTGACCGTGAGCCCGAAAGCCGCGAGCCGAGATGAGAGAAGGGAAAAAGAATAGCTCCCACCCTAGTGCGCAAGCGTCTTGCGCTCCGCGCTTGCGCCAACTCAACTGCTTGAGAAGGCTGTCGAGCACAGCAGGAAAAGGAGGCTTTGAGAGGTGGCAGCCGCGCAGGTAGAAGCAGCGGGACGGGGGGGGGGGGGGGGGGGAGGGACACGCTCTTTTACAGCTCCGCCCCGGCACATTGACGCACACGTCGGCTCTCCAATCAACCTCTCACTCGGGAAAAAGGCGGTGTCTCAGAAGGCCAATCAGAACAGAATTCGAGAGTCAAGTAAAGCGGGTGAAGGTAGAAAATCGATCCACGCGGAAAAGGGAGAAAGGCGGGAGAATAAGCACCCGACTAGCCAATTAGGGCGCGCGAACCCAAGAAGCGCGCGTATGAGACAATATGGAGAGACATCCTCCCAACACGCCAATCAACTTTGCCCCGCCTATTTTTGTCCCCCCTTTCCTTAGGTTAAAAAAACCACGTCTATAATATGAAGTGGTTTTGGCCGCAAAAGGCCAAAGAGCTTGAAATCTCGTCAGACGAATCTCTTGCTTCGAATAAACTTTACTACTTGTGGCTTTTTAGCCACGTTAAACTCTGGCCGAGAAGTTGACCGATAAATTGACAGAGGAAAAGTTAAAAAAAAAAACTCCACGACTTCTAAACGTAAAGACGTACGGGTCGCGCGGGTTTGTACACGCGCCAGCAAAATGGAAGGCCCACAATGCGCATGCGCCAGATCATGGGCCGGCGCGAAGCTAAACTTTCGTCAGAAAAGACTTCGTGGAAGCCACGCCCCTTCTCAGAAGAACCGAGCGAGGAGATTTGAGGGGGGAGGAACCACGACACGAGCTGAAATGTGATTGGCTAATTAACGCTATAGCAGTGTTTCCCGATTTGTAGCCACCAGAAGATAAGTGGACTTCAACTCCCAGAATTCCACAGCCAGCATATTAAAGTTGATAAGGTTGAGAAAATGCTTAGCAACGTTTAACGTAATTTAATGGCTGCTTTGTTGTGGAAGGAAAAAATTAATAAGGCTGTCTCTGACTTATGACCACAATTAGCACCAGAATTTAAGTTGCTAAGTGACATGGTCATTAAGTGCATCATCACATGAACCAGATCCAATGTTATTATTTTTACTGCAGGCATTAAGCAAATTTATACAGGTATTGAGCAAATGTGGCTTCCCTTATTGACTTTGCTTTGGGAGGTGGCTGGGAAGGCAGCAAATCTTGATCACAACACTGCAGTCATTAATGTGCAGGCACATTGCCAAGTGCCCAAAGTGATCACTTGACTGTGCGGGTGGAGCAATGGTCATAACTTCGAGGACAGGTCATAAGTCATTTTTTTTCAGCACTAGATAATAATCAGAGCTGGAAGGGACCTTGTAGGTCATCTAGTCCAACCCCCCGCCCAAGCGGGAGACCCTACACCATTTCTGACAAATGGCAGTCCAATCTCTTCTTGAAAGTCTCAAGGGATGGCGCTCCCACAACTTCCAAGGGCAACTTCTGTCTCGTTGGTTGATTGTTCTCACTGTCAGAAAGTTTCTCCTTATTTCCAGTGTTGTAACTCCAGTGTTGTAGCTACTGTTGTAACTCTGAACCCTTAAACAAAAGGTTGTAAGTCAAGGCCTACCTGTAACTAATTCTAAGAAAATAAGACAAATAAGACTCTCCTACCATTGGGCAGGAGATATAGAAGCATAGCCAGCCAAACGAATAGGCTGAAAAATAGCTTTTATCTGAGGGCTGTCAGACTTCTGGACGCAACATAACACCACAATTAGGTTTAATATGATAGACTTGCAGGGCCAGTGCAACGTGCAGCATGTTCATACTAGTGTAATATAATACAATGTTACATATATATAGGTATATGGGAATGTGTGTTAGTTATTACTTATTTGGGTTTAGGGATTCTATTTCTTTCATTTATTGAGTTATTGAGATGTATTTTGTGTTTGGGAGGGGGCTGCACCAAGGGAGGCTCATTTCAATTTCATTGTACACATGTTGTGCATTGACAATAAATGTTTGATTTGATTTGACATTCTGTACAGTAGATGGATGGATGGATATTAACTCCCAAATTGGGCATGATCCTTGAAAGGAAAAGTGCAACCCTATTCCAGAGCCATGTTGGAATATCTCCAGATGTGTGGGATTCTTAGTGCTTTCTGAGTTGGTGGGTTTCTTGCAGACGTTTCATTTCCAAACAAGGTAATATCATCAGTGTAATTGGTAGGACTGAGTCAAAGATGGTCCCTCCCCATCAAAACCGGT